AATGAATATTTGGAGTAACTGCACAATGTTCATGGTGCGCATGTGATACTTAGCCTAGGGTTAATTTCGGGCTGAATATGGGTCTTCTGCTGTGACTTCGTTGCTTTTTGATCTTTTTTTAATGGTTACTTTGCGACTTGCTTTTCCTTGTTTGCCATGTTTTCGCTTTTTGTTGAATTTTTCTTCATCAGTAGTTCATAAGGAATTAACTTGATTTTCAAACAAAGTCGTTTATAGTATCTTTTTGAATCGATCGCTAAGCCAGAGTTCTAGAGATGGATCTTGTTTTTCACGGTGATTTTAATTCTCATCTACACATGTTTATTTCTTCGTCTTGTTAGTAAGCGTCTGTACAGTCTTGTGAAGCACTGAATGTTCTCGAGGGGCAGTCCGTGAGGGAGAGGTGTGGGGGAGTCAAGGTAGAAAGGACCACTTGTGCAAAACTGGACTCTTGTCAACCAGACGTGCTCTCGCTGCGAGGGTCCAGGGGTATTTTCTTGAGGCATCTACCAGTCCAGTAGTTGAGGGAGAAGGTAAAGGAGGAGGGATCAGAGAAGGAGGAAGGAAAAGAAGGAAAGGAAAGAGAAGAGAGGCTTCCCGGTTGACAAATGCCCTGAGACGGTTTGGTCTCAGACAATGATTCCCGTCTCCATTAGGGCAACCGTACTTTTGCACAAGTTCTTTACATGCCCCCCCCCTTTCTTCTAGCGGATTTGCGCCTGTTTTTGGTTCACTGGCCTGCTCCTGTTACTATTTAGCACATAGTAGTTAAGCTTATACTCGAATGTAAATGGATTGCTGCATTTCTTCCATATTTGTCCATTTCTTGAGTAGTTGGTCCAATTTTCTTGGAAGTAGGTATGTTACCATAAACAGTTTCCAAAACTTTATCCTGATGTTGTTGGATGCAATTGGCTAGGTCCGTCTGCACGGGTTCGGGTATCTATCTTTGCTCCACGTCAACAGTACCAGTGCAACTGTTTTCACCATATTAAGGTACAGTCTTAGGTCAGCATCTAGCGACATGTGGGCGCTCGGCTTCTCCAGGCCGAGTCACTGGCCGGGTTGACCTCGAGCCGTTGGCCCAGCTGCAATTCAGCCTTTGCCTAACCAAGTGGAAGGACTGCCACTTCTCAACCTGCTGATGGCAGCCAAGAAGCGGAGAGCGATGTGAGGAAGAAAATGGACTCGAGCTTAGACACCGATGACCCCGACATTTCCGTGAGGTGAGCGTTGTCTAGTTGTAATTGAGCTAGGAGTGCTGGTCCAATATAGGCTCGCAGTCCTATACCTTAATACTAATGTACCGTGTTAGGACGTGCCATGAGGTTGTGTCACGTCTCATGTCACGACAATCTCAAGGAAGTGTCCCGTGACACTCCTTTCGCGCCATTTGTGAAGTTGATCGGGGTATGTCCATTCGATAAGTGATGGGAAAGCCTGGCTAGGGCCTCCGTAGAACCCACGCGAAACTGACTTGCCTCGATCGAGTGCAGTGATAACGGCTGTATACTATGTATTTTTTGACACCATTCACCATTACTGCTCTCTATTCATTTTTTCCTCACCTTTTGATAGAATCTTCTCCCTAGCGGTGGAATTTGACCGCGTCATTGTTCCCGGGTTGCTCTGACCCCCCCCCCCCTTCCTCCTCCTCAGAATCGCTCAGCCGTTGCGCACTTGCGAGACGTTTTCGGATGAAGCGAATGCGATATTGAGGGGTTAAACTACGTCCAGGGACGGGATTTGAATGCGCCTGGCGTTATGTGGTGTTCATGCACCCGAGCCCACGCAGCTATTATATTGGCGTTAAAGGCAGTTGGCACGATGATTTGGTGCTCGGCCTAAAATGCTAGTAGGGCGCTATATAGTGGGGAAATGGCGAAAGAAACGGAGTGAAACGGTCAAAATCCTGCGAAAAAAAGCCTCCGTTCTCAATGTGTTAAAATCAATTTTGGACGAGTTTCCCGTAGGCATCTTGCCAATAACCGCTACCGAAGGTACGGCTGCATATGTGTACTCATATATCCATGCAGCATCACGGCCGCTTCATACCAATCCCTTCGCTTCATAATTTGCTTAGCAAATGAATCAATACGAGCGTCAGGAACGGTCGTCCATTTGTGGGCGGGCGGGCGTGGCGGGCGTTTGGGTCGGTATGTTGTGGCTTGATAGGGCCCTTATAAGGGCACCTTCCTTGGAAAAGGCATTATGCAGCGCCTGCTCAGGGTCGCGGAATTCCGTCCTGCCAGGCGTATTAATCCTACTCGTCTTGGGGATTTATCGTGCCAACTGCCTTTAAGTAGTTTGAAGTACCCGTGAGGACTCGATTCCTACCAGATCCACTCCCCGGTGAAAGTTTCGGGCACCTTCAGCAGGGAGGTATTTTGCACATTCTCTGCTTCCCATTGTTGTGTCCATTGTTTTACAGGAGTAGACAGATATTCTTCGCAAGAGCCTTCAAAACTTCAAAAATTCCCATTTAGTGGCTCGACAGACAATGGCAAGCAGCGATGGTGAAAAAAATTGATGCTCTCCTCCCTACCCTAGCCCTCCATAAAATTTCGATAAAAATCTGATTAAATTCTGAAGAGCAATAGAGTGTGAATTGTATCAAACTTCCGTGATATTAATTGATACTGGAGGGATGAGAATTCTCGCTCCGAGCCTAGGGGAAGAAGTGAACTAGTTTTCAGAGCTCCCCATATCTCATGGGAAATGGACAACCCGTTCCGGAACTTCCTAAAAGGTACTGCACTGCGGGCCCCTAGTGGACTAGCGCCCAGTAATGTGTAAAAATTTTGAATTTGGCTATTCTTTATCCTGATTTCCTTCATCGACCATATGGAATCGCCGGAATCCTGTCGAAAGAGTCATACATCGAAGATATGACTTGAACCGTCGAAATGAACATTGATATTCCGCCGAGTTCTACGGTCGTCATCACTAGAGATTTTGTTGTCGTTTTCGAGAGGCTAGGCTATTGGCACCGCCCAGCCTCAATATGTCGTTCGTTCATAACAACATTCCACGGGACTCATTGGATTTTTATTGCAGTGTTGTTCAGGTTCCCTTTTTGTAGTGACATTTGGCTAAATTATGGCCTGGTTTATGTGCATGGCAAACAATAGCAGCCAAATCATTCGGTCATGCTGATGCCCTGTTGAAATTGGGAGGTGTAGACAGAAAACTCATTCCGATTCGTCTTTATTAGTGCCGTATAACTAAATGACACCTACTGACCCTTGGTCGGTATTGGTCTAGACTGTGAAGTCGCGCCCAGTTTTCAGTTCAGCAACGGAATTCCAGGCACTGCGTCTGTTCTACCCAAAGAAGCTTTTCTATCTGAGGCAGAGGATGGCTTCGCATACGCTTTGTGCTCACGCATACGGTCCGTAAATCGGATCACGGATCGCACCAGGCCTTCCACCCTCCGGGATGGTAACATAGTACCAGATTCGTATGGGAGGATAAGAACACTGAGAAGATCGGGTAGGCCCCCGCAAGTCATTGTATAGGCTACATCCCATTCAATAAACCACTGCGCTTCTTGAATGTGAATAGCGTGCTGCATCCCAAAACGTGGGGATCTGCGGCGAAGATGTTGTCCTTTTTAGAGCCTTCTGTCGTAGATGTTTGCAGGGCTTAATCACTATCGCCATCTGAAGAGGGATAGCCCGATCGAGTCTCTTTTAATGATGAACAGCTCGCAAAGAGGTGGGGGGGGGGACAAAAACGACGCTCTTTCTATGGGGCATATCAACTCAAGTCACTATCGTAAACGTCTCACAGCTCGCTTGAAAATCATCTTCAAAATCATCTTCTTGTACTATCGAGTTCTGGAAAGCAAACTGTCAACCGTAGCGGTGTTGCCCGGCTATGTAGAATCTGGTGCCATCCAGGATCAAAACATTCTCCGAGAACGTCCCCGTTAGTTACTCCTGGAAGTGACGCAGTTTCTCGAGAGTGACACTAATACAGTAGGGCTCCTCGAGCTTGTCTGTAATGGAGGGCTTTACCTTCTTGTGAATCAACAGGCAGCGGTGGAGGAATTGCTCCTGCTTGTGCGGGAACATACCATAACTAGTTTTCTCAGACTTCTGTGCAAATTGTATTAGGCAGCGTTCATACCTCGCGACGGCAGCGGCGATTGCTATTACCTGGACCGCTCGCTCTGACAAATAAGGAAATCCAACTTGTGAGACCTTTTTCTCTCAATAATGGCTACTAACTAGAAACTTTCTCTACTTAAGAGGATCTGGAATATGAGGAAGGGGTTTCACCTTTTTTGAGGTCGGGATAAGGGCAACTTCATTTAATAGGTGAGTTTCTTTTTGTTTCTTTTGTTTCATTGTTTCATTTTATATGAGTGTCTAAAATTTCCTATTGGTTAAACTGTTCCATCCCAAAACATTTGTAGTTTACAAATCGAGTTCAAACAGCGAAAAAAAAAGAAATAGAATGAAACCCACCTAGGAATCGAAACACTAATCTTTTATGCAACATCAAGGAGGAGGAAACTTTATAAATTCATGTATAAGCTCGAAGAATGAAAAAAAAGAAACACTAAGAAACTTACCCTAAATGAAGCTCCCACGCTATTTGCTCAATTTCTGTACTGATGGTGAGTTAAAAAAGAAAATAGAAAAGAAAAGCCATCAAGTTGGGTCCACCTTTCTTTGAGTCAAAACAAGCTTTCGTACCAGAGGCAATTAAAAGGAAAGAAAGCACGAAGTTGCCGATTCTTCCTAACAGCACTCGAAGAAGTCCAAGGAATAGGGTTGGGGCGCGCTCTGACGCGTGCTGACGATGGCAACGATCGCCGTCGCCGTGATCGTCGCTGCTGTCGCGAAGTATGAACGCTGCCTTAAAGTTTCCCATGTTTCAATCGATTCCTTTCAAGATAGATGTTTGTGGGCACCCTAAACGTAGTTCATGGTGGGGAAAAAAGGCTTTTTGTCTGTACATTTTTTATCTCGACCGAACCAATCAGTTCTTGCATGAATCTCTCACTACTGGCCTTCGTTCGGCTCACCTTTCTGGCTCGTTTGGCTCGTAATGACGACCAGCTAATGACCTTTGGCAGTGGTATTGAAATCGATCGTATCGTTCGGGGAGCTAATGAGGTGGCAGGTGGGCCATTGCTGTTCCATTGAAGGTATGCACCAGTCCGGTATCAGATGGGTCAGGATAAGATACTGTAGCTCAATACCCTCCTATCGATTAGTCGTTGCAGTTACTCAAATAACTGAAGTGAATTACTCGACGCTTTCCGAATCTGAATGAAAGTAGGGTGTATGGCGCACCTTGATTAGATCAGGGTGAGGTCGTGCGCTTATTTCTTGACCTTGTATCTGTATCAAGCTAAATAGGATTGGGCTGAGGGAATCGGATTCGGCAAATGTCTCTAGTTTTGGTTCGATGCGAAAGGGGCAAGTTCGGCATTTAGTTTAGCCCGTCAGCATGTAGGGAAATTTTGGAAACTTTCAAACTCTTGTAAAACTATTAAGTCGAGAAGGAGCTTCAGAGAGCGCTTCACGTGGTAAGGGCGTTTTGCTACTTCGTTAATTTCCTTTATTAGTTCCTGTCTCGTGAAGCCGTGAAGCGGTATAAGTGAGCCATGTTGGTTACAGGAATCCACAAGTCTTTGCGACGTGGTCTGTAGGAACTTCACTGAGTCCCATTCGGTACCCTCTAAACCTGAATGGGCCATCCAGAGTGGACGGACCAACTCCTTCATCTGAAAAGTGGTTGGTAAATGGGACACGGTGCAGTTCCGCTTGGTGGGTGCACCAAATTGTTCTTAGCTGAGCTTGTAGGCTACTTTATGAACACTCGTGACCAATGTGACTCGCCCGAACAATTTCGCACTGCGCAGGAGTTGACATGTTTGACCAAAGCGAGACCTGTTGATTATCATGAAATGGCAAAGCGAACTAACGGAAGTGCGAAATGTCCCTTCAGACCGCTAAACGCCTGGAGCTTTTAACATTTCGTAGCACCCGTGAGTTTACAACGTGCCACCTGTCGACAGACAGTGTCACCAAATGTAAAGGAAAACATTCACGTGAACTTTTCCATTCCTCTCGTTTTTTTCCCTGACAATTAAACTGCCCTGAGCGCCAAGCGAAAAAATTATGGCCTCCTATACATGAGAAAAATTGAAGTCATGTAATTATCCACCGTTTCTAGGAATTAATTGATGAAAAACTAATCGTGGGCTTCGTTTACACAGCTGGGTGCGGCGAATTCACTGCGCTTCTGAGAAAATATGCACTTTAGGTTCGATTGTTGCCGTAACTACCTCTGAGAAGTGCTTGGGCAGCAAAGAACATCGTTTTGTTGGAATTTGTATTCGTAGAGAGAAAGAAGGCCTTCATCATCAATTCACTCTGAGAAATGTAGTGGAAGGAATCGGTAGGTGAATTTGAGCGTTTGAGGATCCAAATACCCTAGAGATCAAGTTTATTTATTGATTTAGGTGTTGAAGTAATGTATGACTTGTATAATCCAACAATAAGAAAAATCGAAACGCTTAAGTTGGAAAAGCGTTTGGACAACGATCTCAGCTATTTGGTTGATGCATTGCCTGAATATAGCACGTTCGACTTCCATATGGAACCAATTACCCACCCAGCTGGTAACCCCCGTACCCGTGAATCCGCTCAAGGTATCTGCTTTGTTCTTTTCTAATGCATTGTCGCTCGCCGCGGGAGGTCTATTTGCGCGAACACGAGAACGGTTTGCATTCGACGTGGAACGTGTGGGGGTATAGCTCAGTGGTAGAGCATTCGACTGCAGATCGAGAGGTCCCCGGTTCAAATCCGGGTGCCCCCTACTCGTTTTGCATTGGTGCAGACAACATCCCTTGATATATATGAATATGCTAAACTTTATTTATGCGCTATAACTCCAAATTTGTTGTTGTTTGGCAAGTTCTCGAGGGAATACTTCGCAAAGTTGTTCTCTCAGGATTTCCACGAAAAGTCCTGATAATAACCATTCTAAATAGAAAACTGCTATGATTTTAACTATGCCATGATTGTGATCCATGACCTCTTAGTTTGTAGGGTCGTATGGGCACTACATAACCCTTAGGGATTGCATCCAAAAGGGATTTATGTGGGCTAGACCTTTCGAGTGATAAAATCCAGTGTTTTATATGACCCTTCACGTTTGTATCGATA